AGCACAATATTTTTTCTACTCGTAATAAATTCCTTGAAATATTAATTTCTGAATATTTTTTAAAACGTAACTCGCTATGGGAAAAAATATTGTTTTATACACGACAATAAAATTGCATTATAGTCTCCCGAAATTAGACGATTTCATCGCTCGTGAATTAATCTTTTCGGTCGACGTTAAAATACCATTTTATAGTCTTGTATAAAAAAATAACTATTATTATTGAAATAGAAATACCAAATATTTTGGTGTTTATTCACAAAAACAAGAGTGTGAGAGGTGTCAAGAAATAATTGTAAATAATTCAGATGATATATGAACGTATTTTGTGCTAAATACAAGTGGTTATTTTGTAGTACTGTCAAGAATCGAAGTAAAATGAAGTTCAATACAAACACGGCAGTTATAAAAAAAGGATAAACATGGTTTAAAAATATCAACCAGCAACATGTATGCATTATTCAGATTACCCGTATATAGGCATATACATGCTCTCCACTTCATTATTATATTAACACTTGTTTACAATAGCAAATGAGATCATAAATTAGGCTGGGCCCACACACGGAAAATAAAAACTTTATAATTTCGAAGCCGCGCTCCAGTATTTGATGGCGGAGTTGAATGGAAATGTATGCTAATCCATATTAAATTTACGTGGTTTTTTGTTCCAGATCTTTTTACATAAAATTTTGGGTTTTTGATAATTTGTTTGTCTATTTCTTTTAAACACCGATCTATAATCTATATGTATGGGAAAGTCCACTTCCAAGTTAATCACCGCAACCTTATAGATTGATTGTGTCATCTTTCTTGAGTCACTAACAGTCTCAGGACTTTGACAAAAGCCAGTGTCTGAGACAGTTTTAGGGAGGTTAGTTCTCCATCTTAGATAGCAGTCGTACTAAAATTTGTAACACGAATGCTTGTTGTCTCGGCGCACTCAGTGATGAGGTGTTCTGGTGTTTCCCCATTTTTCCCACAGAATCTTCATTCGCCGTTGTTTCTTAGCTTCAATCTACTGAGATGCTCATTGAGGACACGTGAAAACCACGTGACAATTCGAAGATAAATCAAGGAAAATATGTGATTTTTATCGGTTATAAATGCTGAGAAATTTCTTCGAGTGTTTTAAACTGTTTTTTTTTCTTATTTTCATTCCAGGTTAGGGATGGTGTCTTTCAGGTTCATGTGTTTTGCTTAGAGTTGGTTTCGATTTGGGAAGTAGAATTCTAGTCCAGTAAGTGCAGTGTTTGCTCCTTTTCTAGCTAGATCGTTTGCTTTCTTATTATCTTATATTATATTATTGGTTGAAAGATTATGTCGCGCTGTTTAAATTTTACAAGACAAGCTACTGAACTTCTATGCGCAATGGTCTAGAATGGCCAAATCAGAGCCAAGGTGAAAGATCAGATGATTTTACGTAAAACCACATGGAGGTAATGTACGAGGCTGGGCTGAAAAATAATCGGCCTAGGAAAGAAAACACAACTTTTTTCGGCAAAACTCAATTTATTTCTCAACGTAGTCCCCGTTAAGCTCTATACATTTTGTTCAACGATTCTCCAATTTTTCGAAGTCCTTAAAATAGGCCTCTGCCGCAGCGATGACCTCCCCATTCGACTCAAATCTCTTACCTCCGAGCCATTTTTTCCAGTCTGGAAACAGATAATAGTCGCTGGGTACTAAATCTGGGTAGTATGACGGATGAGGAGAGAATTCGTAACACAATTCATACAGTTTTGCCATTGCGACTGCACATTTATGCGCCGGTGCGTTGTCCTGGTGGAAGAGCACTTTCTTCTTCGCTAAATGCGGTCGTTTTTGCTTCAAACAGCTTTGAGTAATATTTGCCAGTGATCGTTTTGCCCTTTTCCCGGTAATCGATATGAATAATACCGTGCGATCCCAAAAAACTATGGCTGTGACCTTGTTGGCAGACAGACCCACCTTGGCTTTCTTTGGCTTTGACTCGCCCTGAGAAACCCACTGCTTTGACTGTTCCTTTGTCTCTGGCGTATTGTGATGGATCCAAGTTTCATCCACGGTTACAAAATGGCGCAATAAGTCCTTATTATTGTGGTTAAACATTGCCAAACACTCCTTTGAATTTGTCACACGGTTTCGCTTGTTGCCGGCATTGAGCAAATGGCACCCATCTGTCAGCGAGCTTCCTCATTCCCAAATATTCGTGCAATATATTCTCCACTCGTTCACGTGACATGCCAACAGCCCCAGCAATCTCGCACACTCTTACCCGTCGATCGTCAAATACAATGGATTTTATCGACTACTTCTGGTGTGGTGACCTCTCTTGGACGGCCTGGACGCTCATCATCAAAAATTATCGTACGACCGCGTTTAAATTCGGCAGTCCAATATTTTATTTTTCCACATACACATCATTCAGTTTGATTTTGATCTCATCGTTCGTTTTCTTTTTTAAAAACAAGAATCTAATAATTGCGCGATATTCGATTTTATTCATTTTTGTAAAAATGCAAAATCTGTTCGCCTTCAATCACTGTCAAGTACAAACTAAGTGACGCAGCTCGCTGAAAACTTGACAGAAGTTACTTGAAAGATAGTTTTTAGAAAAAACAATTGCATTTGTTCCTAGCGCAGCCAACTCTTGCCGAGGCCGATTATTTCTCAGCCCAGCCTCGTACAAACAGTAACTCTTGAGACCGTGCACTAGTCTCCATGAACTGAATGAATGTTCGCTATGAATTTTAGTAGTTCCTATTTAAGTATTATTTAATGTTATTACTGTTATTTTTCCAGTAGAGTGCGGACGTTCCACGCCGCGAACGTGAAACATTGATGTTTTTTGTTTCTCTGATGATACGCTCGAGTAGGCACCCCCTCCCGGAGATCCGATTGAGGGGGTATTTTACCTCCGGACGATAATTTTGTCCCACTCGAATGTTCCATCATTGCTGTGTGTAAGCTGCGTGAAAAGGTTTAACTGTGGCGGTTACGCTGCCGCACAGTTTTGGCTGCAACTGTAGCACGGGATGGCTATGGCACAGTGAGGACTGCGACGATAGTTCCCTTGTGCTACGTTCTCGGCCGGCTAGGTGTATTTTATTACTCTTTTTTCCCCAGAAGATGGTAGGTCTGAGGGTTGTATAAGGTTATACCGCCTATACTCGGACGTCAGAGCCTCGTTTGTGTAAACAGGGTGCACCACGGGAAGGTGAGGTTGACTTTTGGGTAAGCTAGGCTGTATGTATCGCTTCAATACCCCTTGCACCCCATGTATATGTACTGTTATTTTAGATTATAATCTAAACTATCTCAAATAATAACTTAATAAAAATAATAAAACAAATTGTGATTTTTAAATAAACTCAACGCATTTATTACACAAAATACAAATTTTGAAAGATCTCACGTGAGATTAGGGAAGAGGGGAGGGGGTCTAGAGAAATCTCACGACTTCTCACTGGAGGGGCAGAGGGGACCAAAAAATCCTCAAAACGTCTTTTTACTTGGTTGTATACTATTTTGTATTAATATCTTTTTTTATATTTTGCCGTTTGATTTCTCTCAAAACACAGCATTATTATAAAATAATTAAAATGTTTCCTTTCCTTTAAATACACAAGGGAAATTAATTTTTGTCATAAATAAAGTGTATTTTATTAATTATGGGGCCCACGCTGGAAAAACTAGCGAGAGCAAACTTTGTAAAATATACTTAATTAAGCAAACACAATTTATTTTTAGCCATCAAACAAGAAGCGTAGGTATCCGTCTCGCTTGCTAAACGGTAATTAGTTTGTATAGCTTAATTGAACGTATTTTTATATAAATTTCTCTCATTTTCAACATATAAAATTACTAGAGTGTATTCGGTATAAGGAACACACAAAGTAAATGTAAAAATTATTTAGGGTGTTTGAAAAAACATGTGCCATCTCTCGTGGGGAGATTCCTCTCGTAAAAATAAGTCTTAATAATGTTTCGATTTATTATATGTACTTTTAATGATTCAAATGAAATTTTGAGGGCAAAAGTTACTATAAGTACTACATATTTTAATGCTAAAAAGTGTCCATTAATTCATCAAGAACGTGCATATGGATTATCATTGGAATATTTTTCAAAAAAAAAATTATGTGCGCCACTGACTTTTTTCTTTTGATATAAAAATTGTGTAGGCCGTTTAATGCCAATTAAAAGTTATCTCTTGATATTTTGTCGAATTCGGCCGCTTTGATGAGATAAACGCAATTTTATTAATCACAATTAATAAAATTAAAATAAAAATAAAATTAATAAATTATATATTTTACCTAATTAATTATTAAATATTATTACCATTAGTTATTATTACTATTAGTGCAACCTACAGCAATTTCAAATAAAAAAAAATAATGGTATTTAAGATAATTACAAAAAAACTAATTTTAAAAAGTTTTAATATCCTGTAACTCCAAAACTATGCATTTCCATACCCATGTTTATAGGAACTTTTTTTCATATCTTTGGAGAGGAATGAGGAATCGATGAGTACTTATTTAAAACTTTTGCACGTTAATGATATTAATTTTATACATAGTTTATTATCAAAATATGCGAATTTAAAATTTATAATAAACCAATTAACTCAATTTTTAACAAATGTTTTATTTCTTCTAAAAAATAATTAACTTAGGCAACTCTAAATACACTAGCACGAAAATTAATTATCATGCTCGTAATTAAAGTGTGTCCATTCATTACCCGAAAAAAAAACTTTGTTCAAGCTGAACCAACTTTGTAAAATATACTTAAAAAAGCAAACAATAATTATTTTTAGGTAGTAAACATGAGGCGTATCCACCTTGTTTAGCACTAATTAGGTTGTGTAGCTTTATCGATCCACAATTTTATTTTATTTTTTGTATTTTTTCTGTTCCATGCACTCCCTATGTCCCGTTCATCACAAAAAAAAATAATGTATCAAACGCACTGTTTTTTTATGGTTTATGTTGCATTGGTGGATGCTTTAGACGAAAGTACTACAGACAACAGGCGAATGTTTCATGGTAAGGTACTATTTACTATATTATCTTTAAAGAAATATACAAGGTAGTCAGAATTGTGTAACTAATCGGAAAAATTCGGCAACATTAATGTATACAAACTTTTTTACTTATTTTTATCTACAGAATATGTTGTCTTAGTCTCCTGATTACAATTTGATCCAAATAGTATATAAATTTCTTATTTAATATATTTTTTGCATATAAATATCTTAATTTAAATTATAATAGTCCCAGATTATTTATAAAAAATGACGCATAATTTTAAGTAGTGATGGGAAAAACCGATTAAAGAATCGTATTACCGAATCGAGCAAAATATCGCTCGTATTTAAAAATACGGTTTTTCGCCCATCGCTTGTTGCTTGTACTCGTAACGCCAAGCAGTAAGTTGCGTGCGCAGAGCACATATTCTTTCGGTGATGAATGGCAAGTAGCAAGCGACGAGCGATTCGCTTGATGGCTTGCTTGATTTAGTTTATTTTAAGGCATTGTCGATGTACTTAGGTCGTAAAATTTTGTGACTAAGATACACAACGGATAACGTCGTATACATTTGCTACCTGCAACGTATGTAGAAAATTCGCTCGGCTTTTTATCGAGTATGTCATATTAAAATCGGATTTCAATTTATTTCATTCTAGGATCGCTTGCCTTCGTCGCTCGTAACTCGTCACTTGCATCACTCGTTCATAATCGAGCGATGTCGGTTATTTCAATAATCGAGTACTCGAGCGAATTTTTTTCGCTCGAGATATCCCATCACTAGTTTTAAGATAAAATGACCAGAATTTGAGTCAAAATACATTCTTCGGATACATTCTTCAACAGCACTGACGCAATATGTAATTTTTACATAAAAAAGTCTGATCTAAGTTGATAAAATTATTATTTGAGGTAATTTTAAAATAAATATATGATTTTTTTTTCAGTTAAAAAAATATATAGATTTTTTTAATACTTTTTATAAACAGAGAGTTTTTGAGGACGTACAATATTTTTTGCCAAAAAAAATCTCATAGACTCGTTTCTAGGACTAAAATATACCACCCCTAAAAATTGTTTTAAGACTCACCCTGTAATATGATAATTTAGTACTAACAATGATAAATTATTCTTTTTGTTTCAGAACATACCAGTGAAGATGTCCAAAGCATCAGGTCTTACAAGAATTCAGGCACAAATCTTCTACGAGGTAACTCATTAACCTCCTTGGCAATATACAGTGTGTGCATTTTATTACTCCAACATTAATTCTCTTTTTAATTCTATTTTTGACTTTCTGTTTTATACAAAGTGTAAAAAAACATGTTCCATCTCTCGTGGGAAGATTTTTGTAAAAATAATATTTAATTTTCATATAAACATAGGTCCGCTTCTGCTTTGTTTCGTAGCTACAAGGGGTTAAAATCTTCATTTTTTTTTTATTTGTTATAGTTTTCCTGTCAGTGTTTTAAGCGATACGAATGAAATTTTGAGTGTAAAGTTTACTATAACTGCGGCTCTAAAAAAGTATCGACATATTTACCAGGGACGTGCATATATGGGTTATCACTAGAATATTTTAAAAAAAAACATGTGCGTCACTGACTTTTTCTTGTCAGCAAAATTGTGTAGACCGTTAAAATGCCGATTAAAAGTATCTTTTATAAAAGATCTTTGACAAAGAAATTTGACATATAATAGCGGCCTTCAGAGTCTATTACGCTGTACTGATCGCGTCGCTCTCAGGGGTCAGGTAAAGCGGGTTTATGGCCGAAGGAAATATATATTATATTTCAGAAATCTGCCTAAGGCTTAGCCCGATCCTATCGTGTTAAGCCACATCCAAAATTCCAAACACACGTGCTTTGATTAAGGTTTGCAGAGATTCAGCATTTGCCATAAAATAGCTAGCAATTTGTTACAAAAACATATAAATTATATATCATTGTAATCACAAAACTTCAATCTATTTCCGTATTGTAGCGGAATTTTAAATTTTGTCTTTATTTTGTTGATATTTGACCATCAAAATCTTAAAAATAAAGAAGTTATCTAAAAATGTGCTACAATACGGATATAGAGTATAATCGTTTATCTTTAATTTCCTTCTTCGTTTGTGTAAAAATACGTAGACAGTTTTACATAAAACGTTAAATACCGAACGCTTATTTTGCTACTTTTTCGGACTAGTGAAATAGACTCTTAATCCAATTATTCTAATAGAACAGTTTAATTTTTTTTAATGTCATTAAATGGCCAAAATGTTAAATAAGTAATAATTGATTACTACGAAACAAAACAGAATCGGACAGAATATATGAAAAATAAATCTTATTTTTACGCGAGGAATTTTCTCACGAGAGATGGCACATGTTTTTGAAACACCCTATATAAACGTTTTTGAAAAAAAAATCTCTCTCAAGCAAGTCTTTCTATATTGTATTTATTTTTACATCTCCTGTATATAGCACGTGTATATAACCTAACTGATAAAAAAAATCTATGTATTAATGGAAATAAAAAAGTAAAGAGAAAAAACCTAAACGCTAATATAATAAATATTTTTTGTAAATAAAAGTATACATTATATTCTAGTAATTATATTATAATAGTACCAAAAATATTTACATTGTCTGTGGTGTTAACACTTAAGTAATGAAAAGCTGAAAGATATTTATTAAGAGAAGAATGGTGTAAAAGAAAAGAGAATTATATATGATATAATATAAATTTTATGTCCAAAAAAGGCTTTTTATATAAATTTATATTTTAGTTTAACTTTTCATTATGAATGAAAAAAAATGATGTTTAACTTAAGCTTCCCATACTCAATGTGTAGGTAGAATGATTTTAAATGTAATACGAATCTATTTAAAAAAATATATTGTTTAATGTAGATTTTCAAATTTTATATTATATTTCATTTATGTTTGGAGTATATATGTTTTGTACTCTTCATACCACTTTTTAATGTATAAAACTATGGAAATATAATAAATGGTATGACATGCTCACATTTATGTTTTATTTCAATACATTCCAGTGAACCAAAAGATATTAAAAGAGTTTAGAGTCATCACAGACATGTATAGACAGATAGACAAATAGATTAACCAATATACAGGGTGGTCCAAATTATATTCGAGAAATTTCGGCAGGATATTTTGCAGATAAAAGTAGGTAAAAAAATCGTATAGATTTATCTCCTATAATGCTTCGTTTCGGAGATACAGGTTGTAGAATTTTTTTTATTTCAATTTTTACCAAATAATTTCTGAACTAACGTCGATATTTGGATGAAAATTAGTGTTTGAGTGCTTTTTGATGTGAGAAATTTGATTTCAATATCAATATGACTCTTACTTGCAGGAGAATATACAGGGTGGTCGGAACTGTATTCCGCAAATTTTGCCAGCATAATTTGCAGATAAAAATAATTAAAAAATTCCTATAAATGTATGTCCTAAAATGCTTAGTTTCGGAGATACAGGGTGTAAAAGTTTCATTTTTATTTCGATTTTTTCCAAATAATTTTTGAAGCAACGTCAATATTTAGATGAAAATTGGTATCTGGGAATTCTTTGACATGAGAAATTTGATTTTGATGTCAATATGACTCCTACTTGTAGGGGGCGCCACCTACATATTGTTAACTGGTTTGAAGAGTAATAACTTTTCGTTCGCACCTGTATAAAACTACTGAGTAAAAGTATATACATTTACGACGATTTTTACGTAAAAAAGGTCTCTTGGTAAAAATCGCTATGAGTAATGGTTGTCGAGATATTTGGCATCCAAATTATCAATACCTGTCGTGATGGATATAAATTAAACATGTTGACTAAATAGTTATTGAAATCATAAATTTGAGATGTTTTCGTGCCAAAAGTTCAATAGAAACTGTTTTATCATATTTTTTTCGATAAAAAATTTATGATTAATTTAAAAAATAAAAAGGTCCCAAATTTATCATTTCAGTGAAATAACTATCTACTCAACATGTTTATTTTTTGTCAATAATGAGATGTATTGACTATTTCTATTCTAAATATCTTGAGCGGTTGCTCGTAGCGATTTTTACCAAGAGACATTTTTTACGTAAAAAATCTCGGAAATGTATATTTTTTCATCCCGCAGTTTTAGCATGTACGGACGACAAGTTACTACTCTTCAAAACTTTTAAAACAAATAATGTAAGTGGCGCCCCCTAAAAATAGGAGTCACATTGACATCATAATCAAATTTCTCATGTCAAAAAGACACCAATTTTCATCTAAATATGGACGTTACCTCAGAAATTATTTGGAAAAAATTGAAATAAAAATGAAACTTCTACACCCTGTAACTACGAAACTAAACTACTATAAACATTTATACCAACTTTTTACTTATTTTTATATGCAGAATATGCTGCCGAAATTTCCGGAATACAGTTCGGATCACCCTGTATACTTCCCTACAGGTTTTTTAACTGTTTTGAAGAGTAATAAATTTTTGTCAGTATCTGTATATCACTACTGATTAAATATATAGGCATTTCCGCCGTTTTTTACATAAAAGTATCTTAGTAAAAATTGCTACGAACAACCATTCCCAAGATACTTGGAATGTAATTATCAATACATATTATAATCTTTGACAAAAAGATAAATACTAGTGTTTTTGACTAGATAGTTATTTGACTGAAATGATACATTTTGGAACTCCTATTTTTTTGGAACTACTACTAAAATTTTCTAGAAAAAAATATGATAAAACAGTTTCTGTTGAACCTTTTTCAGAAAAACATTTTAATTTAATTTTACAATTTATATGTGTTTATACAAAGTGAGTTTTAAATAAATGCAAATATTTTCAGGGCTGTTAGATCTCGATAAAAGATACATATTTTATTTTTACCGTTTTTCAAATAAGTCCAAAATAACCGAGTTATTTTAATTCGAAAATTAGAAAAAAAACATTATTTGCTCCTTTTTTAAGATTCACTCTGTATATCTCTAAAGCAAGTACTCATGGTCTATTTTCATTAAAGTCTAGCCACGTAAAAGAGCAATGCATCAAGTTAATCCTCGAAACAAAATAAAAAAGCGAGAAGAAAAAAAACAGAAATAGAAATTAAATAACCTATAAATAATTCACTCCTAAACGTAGAGCGGCCGTTTTTCTTTTTATAGTAATCGTAAATCGAGTAGAACAATGCCCCAGTGCCCTTGTATCGGCTGATCATCACGTGGAAGCACATCGTAAAAGGAGTGGTGCCACGCAACCATTTACAAATTTATCGGCAACGTTGTAAACGATGTTACTGAAAAAGCGACGACTTTCTTTAAAATGTGTCTATTGATTTTTCTCGTTATTTTATAAAGTTATTGAGATATCATCACTCAGATGCAAAAAAACGCAACGGAAAAATGTTGGGCCAATTTTAAAATGTTAATTTTTTTTTTATTTTTAGCTTTATTTCCTTGATTTATCTCCTTGAAACTCAGTATTTGACTTATTATACAAGGTTAATCGAAGAGTAGTTTTTATCCTATCTTTAAAACATCCTGTGCAATAATTTTGTGAGCCAATTTTCCTAAAACATTATTTTTCGGTTAGGAGCATGTCTACTGAACATTTTGTTTTTTGACTCATGTCAACATATGCCTTGGTTAATTTTTAAGAGCAAAATGAACTTGCCACAAACATTTTGCAATTTTTTCAATTATCGTTACTTTTTAATAAGTTGCTTGGTCCTTGAAGAAGAATGGAAAAACATAACACAATATATTTGCAGTCTCATTGGTTTGGTTTGGTTTGGTTGTTGGTGGCAAGTTCATTTCGCTCTTGAAAATTAACCAAAGCTTCTGTTGATATAAGTCAAAAAATGAAATGCTTAGGAGATATGGTTCTGATCGAAAAATAGTATTTTAGGAAAAATTATTTACGAAAATATTACACGGGGTGTTTTAAAGTTAAGAACAAACAACCCTTCAATTAACCCTGTATAATAAGCTTATAAAACTGACTTTATGAATTAAAGTTGATAGATTTATATACAGTTTTAAAAAATTCATTAAAATATGCGTTCCGTTATACACTATCCAAAACAACATGTTATTTATGATTATGATATTTAAGTTTTAATTCTTTTCAAAAATGTGACTTGTGTTTAAATATAAAATTAAAAAAAATCACAATTTTTCTGTTTCTGATTTACATTTTCTCATAATCATTCTTTGGGAATTTGTCATAGTTTTGCACGAATTTTGCTGAAGAATACAGTTGGGGTTGGACCCTTTGGTACTATTCAGTAACTATCAATTTAAAGTTTGTCAAATAATGCCTAAAAAAGAACTGACAACAAATTAGGCAAAGAAAATAAAGTACTCTTACTCTGGCTGCCAGACAAAAAAATCAACAAATTTCCTTGATTTAAGTAAGAACAATCTTCGGATTGTCATGGGGTTTTTAAAAAGACACTGTCTCCTCAACAAACACCTCAGTAGATTGAAGTTAAAAAACAACGGCGAAGACAGATTCTGTGGGGAAAATGGGGAAAACCAAAACACCTCATCACTGTGTGCGGCGAGACGACAACCATTCTTGTCATAAACTTTGGTATGACTCGGAGATGGAGAACTAATCTCTGTAAAACC